TTTTTCAAGGGTTCACACAAGGCGTGGATTTTTTAAAGAATATTTTTTCAAGGGTTCACACAAGGCGTGGATTTTTTAAAGAATATTTTTTCAAGGGTTCACACAAGGCGTGGATTTTTTAAAGAATATTTTTTCAAGGGTTCACACAAGGCGTGGATTTTTTAAAGAATATTTTTTCAAGGGTTTACACAAGGCGTGGATTTTTTAAAGACTATTTTTTCAAGGGTTCACACAAGGCGTGGATTTTTTAAAGAATATTTTCACAAGGCGTGGATTTTTTAAAGAATATTTTCTCACACACAAGGCGTGGATTTTTTAAAGAATATTTTTTCAAGGCTCCACACACAAAGCGTGGATTTTTTAAAGAATATTTTTTCATGGGTTCACACAAGGCGTGGATTTTTTAAAGAATATTTTCACAAGGCGTGGATTTTTTAAAGAATATTTTCACAAGGCGTGGATTTTTTAAAGAATATTTTTTCAAGGGTTCACACAAGGCGTGGATTTTTTAAAGAATATTTTTTCAAGAGTTCACACAAGGCGTGGATTTTTTAAAGAATATTTTTTCAAGGGTTCACACAAGGCGTGGATTTTTTAAAGAATATTTTTTCAAGGGTTCACACAAGGCGTGGATTTTTTAAAGAATATTTTTTCAAGGGTCTATACAAGGCGTGGATTTTTTAAAGAATATTTTTTCAAGGGTCTATACAAGGCGTGGATTTTTTAAAGAATATTTTTTCAAGGGTCTATACAAGGCGTGGATTTTTTAAAGAATATTTTTTCAAGGGTTCACACAAGGCGTGGATTTTTTAAAGAATATTTTTTCAAGGGTTCACACAAGGCGTGGATTTTTTAAAGAATATTTTTTCAAGGGTTACACACAGGCGTTAATTTTTTAAAGAATATTTTTTCAAGGGTTACAACAGGCGTTAATTTTTTAAAGAATATTTTTTCAAGGAATACAACAGGCGTTAATTTTTTAAAGAATATTTTTTCAAGGGTTACAACAGGCGTTAATTTTTTAAAGAATATTTTTTCAAGGGTTACAACAATTTTTTACAGAATATTTTTTCAAGGCCCAACGTAAACGTGGTTTTGTTAACGGATATCTTTATTTCTAGTATTTAAAATACCTATGTATGTATTCCTAACGTAGAAACATTTTTTGCCATCAATTCCAATTAACCACTTCGTGTGTCTCACATTACAAAACAAACACACACACATAGACATCCATCCCAAGTTGTGTCAAAAGTCCCCATTTAAAGATCGAAAACCATTTGTCATCCCATCCATATCCACCACATTTTCTGCCACATCTATGGATGAATGAAGTGATGATATGTAACTTCTTCAGTACAAACAAACAAACACACACACACACCTCATATACTCCACAAGATGTGGAAAATGATCGCAACACTCCATCTCCATTTTGTTAACCACCATTTATGGTCGGGTAACGCATTACAGAACACATCGTTAATTATACGGAATGGAATCGCAACTCCCAAAGTGGTGATAGAGACTCGTCAAAATTCTAAGCAAAGCGTTTACATGGAAAGCTATTAAATTATGATGATGCCGATGCTGATGATGATGGTGATGACACCATAAGACAAAGCAAATCATTGGAAACGAAAGAGAAATACGATAAACTAATGGACAGATAGTAAGTAGTTGGCATGACTACTAAGAAGTTGTGTGTGCTGCTTTGTGGACTGCTTGATGGGGGAAAAGAGTAAGGTATCTGAAAAGAGTGTTGCAGCTTCTATCGATCTGTAAGGGGGAAAGGAAATAGACAGATTGTTTTGGAAATGTGGAATATATTTGGTGGCTATATTCTTGCTATGGAGGCTAGGTATTCTCAGAAAATTTTAAAGTGGTCGCAAGTCGCCACATAGCTCTTTATTTTTTTGGCAGATTCTAATTTTTGGGTTATATTGTGAAAATTTAGATTCGTATAACACACCTCGAAATATAACACGCATGTGTCTCATAATTCCATCTTGTGTCTGACACATTCCACATTAAAGACACCGCAGTAGCAGAAACAAACATTTGTTTGGCAATAGTTCAATTGTGACAAAAGAAGAAGAAGGAGGAGAGAAATGTCCCAACAAATCGACGAAATGATTAATGATTTTAGACATCCGTCAAGTACACATTAATGCCTTGAGATGAAAAAAAATGGTTCACGTGTTTATTATTATGTTTATTATTAGCTCAACGATTACGGGACCTTAGTTGTATTTATGTAATTCTGTGTTGTAGTTTATATACCCTCCATTCTGAGATGGGAGGTAGTATTAAATTAAGAAGTCCCTAACAAAGCAAAAGAAATCATATTTCCTTCGCTACAATGCCCTCGACATTTGTCATTTTCTTTGCAAACACCTCGAAATATTCATTGGATACCCTTTACACCTGGGAATTTTTGTATTGGGAATGGGTTATATCGATACAAGTTTTCATGATTTTCTGGTCGCTCCAGAGGCCGCAAGTATGGTCCAAACATCGCGTATTTTTGCATGGAAATGGGATTCTATTCAAAGGTTTTGAATAAGCATTTTTAAAGGGTCCTGTTTTGATAAAGTATTTCTTTCAATATTTAACAGGAGTGTGTTATATTTATTATAGTAATACTTTTGTGTGAAAAATGACAAAATTTGTATTCTATGGCATATATATTTACTCCTGAAAACATATATTTTTTTCAGACCCATCCAACTTGATATTATATCCAAGAGGAGTTGTTGGCCTTTAAATATATATATTGTCGTATGTGTTCGGATATTGTCCTATGTGTTCGGATATGAGAGTTACACTTAAATATTTACACTTGCTTACGTATTCAGATATTATTTAGTAACCACCACACACCACACTGTAAGGCGGAAATATAGCGCTGATCGCTTTTAAAATTTCCATGAGGTTCTGGTTATGGTCAAGGACAACGCCTATAATTTGCGGTGATGATCAGATAATAATTTTGGGATGAAGTGGACCGAAACTTATTTCTATGGTGTTTTTTTCAAGTCGATCTATATGCCACAATTATAAACAGAATATTAAACTGGAGAATGAATCTGGTCAACTAATTTGATGGGCTTTTGTAATGATCTGTCACTATTCAGCGGATCAAGTCAACCAAGACCTTTCTGTGTAAAACGAAAAAATTGGATATTATGAAATAAAACATAATTCGAAATATATGTCATGGCAAGAAATAGGAGCTATTGACCTCTAATCGGTTAAGAGGGTGCAAATACTGAGAATTATTTAGTAACCCATTACCACACTGGAATAAAGATCTGCAGAAAGTTAGAGTTCCGTGGTAGTTGTGTAGGGACTATAATTTTCGGTGATGATCAGATAATAATTTTGGAAAGGCCTAATACAACCATTCCGGTATAGGCATGGATTTTTTTAAAAGTATTATTCAAGGCCTAATAAAAAAAAATATTTCTCAAGGCCTAATACAGCTAGGTCCGGTATAGGCGTGGATTTTTAAAAAAATATTTCTCAAGGCCTAATACAGCTAGGTCCGATTTTTTTAATATATTTGTTTGATTTTTAAAAAATATTTTTCAAGGCGTGTACAATATATTTTTCTATTGGCCTGGATTTTTTAAAGAATACTTTTTAAAGGCATAAAGCAGGCGTGGATTTTTTAAAGAATATTTCCGGTATAGGCGTGGATTTTTAAAAAAATATTTCTCAAGGCTCAATACAGCTAGGTCCGGCGTGGATTTTTTAGGTCCGGTATAGGCGTGGATTTTTAAAAAAGTATTTCTCAAGAACCAATACAGCTAGGTCCGTCCTGCATTTTTTTAATAAATATTTGTTTGAAGTCCTAAGTGTATTTTAAAAAACAAAATATTTTTTAAGGAATAGCCAATATCTTTTCAAGTATTGGCCTGGATTTTTTAAAGAATACTTTTTAAAGGCATAATGCAGGCGTGGAATTTTTTTTAACATATTTCCTTCAGATCCTATTTACATAGGACATACACTTTTAAGTGTGTTTTTTTCAGGTCCTATATAGAGGTGCATTTTTATTGTATATTATTTCCTGGTTCTATATAGGCGGGAATTTTTTAAAGAATATTTTTTCAAGGCCTAATACTGGCATGGATTTTTTTTAAAGAATACTTTTTTTAAAGAATAATTTAGGCGTTGATTTTTTTTTTAAAGAATACGTCTTTGGGCCTAATTTATGAGTTAATTTTTTTAAAAAATATCCATAAAATGTCTAATACTGTTAGCTGACAACTTAAGCTGACAATGGACCTAAATGGGATAAGGGTCCTCCTCAAAGTGGAGGACCGACCAAAATACCTAAAATCAAAGCTTTCAATGGGAAATTGATGTCAGAATAAAACGAAAAACCAAGTTACAGACACTCGGGTTGGAATATTGGCATAGGACTATGAACATATTGAATATGGCGGTTGACTCTGCATGGAAGCTATGTAGAAAATTTGGCTTATATTGAAAATGTTCTGTATTTATGTGTAGCGTTATATGGGGCTTCACTAAAAGATACAATAACGACAAGATACAATCGACAAAAATTTTATTCTGTGGGTCTCCGGTGAATATTTCGATGTGTTGCAAACGGAATGACAATTTTAATATTCACTCCACCTTATGGTGGGCGGTATAAATATATATATTCCATATTTTTCAAAATACCAATGGATGTATTGTGGCGGCCGGAAAATACTCAATAATAATTTACTTTAAAAATATTATTTTTATGTGATCAAGTCATCTTTGATTTTGTATTTTTCTTTTTTCGTCAAGTTAGCCTTGACTTTCAGTTTTTGTATTTGGTGACAACATAATAATTTTTACATTTTCTAGTTAGTTAGTTTGTTTTTTGGAAATTAAACATTAAACTTTTATAATAAAATTTAATTGTTGTGGTTTTATTCATCCCAACGCCCAACAAATTGGTGACCCCGGACAAAAAATAAGAACAATCAGACCTACTAATGGCAACCACCGCTACAAATTCTGGACCATCAATGGAAGTTTCGCGAGTAGCTGTGAAAGCTCCTCCATTTTGGCGTTCAGACCCGCTGCTGTGGTTTAAACAAATAGAATTGCAATTCATTATGGTTGGTATTATGCAAGATTCCCCGAAATTCCATAGCATTGTCGCATCGATTGAAAGTAGTATTTTGGAGAAGGTATCAAACATCATCGTCGATCCTCCTGCAGAAAACATGTACGACACGATTAAGGAAAAACTTATTAGCAGTTTCACGGATTCAGAGGAGAAGCGTCTTAAGAAGCTTTTGACTAACATTGAACTTGGAGACAAGAAGTTATTATCCGAAATGCGGTCTTTGCCTCAAGATAAGGTTTCAAACGACATTTTGAAGCAGTTGTGGATGCAACGTCTTCCTTCACAAATGAAGACGGTATTGTCAGTTAATAAAAACAGTCTTGACAAATTGTCAACGATGGCCGACAAGATTGCGGATAGCAGTGAATCGGATGTGTGCAGCTTTTCTCCATCGAACACTCGTTTAGAGGAAATTGAGAAGAAATTGCAAACGCTCTGCACGCAGATAGATTCCTTCAGGAAGTCAAGAAGCCGTAGCAAGTCATCAACATCAAGGAATAGACGGTCAAATTCCGGAAGTAAATCAAAACCTTATTGTTGGTATCACTTCAAATTTGGAGAGAAAGCCAGAAAATGTATTGCTCCTTGCAATTATAAGCCTCCAACTTCGGAAAACTGAATGGTATGCCGTCTTTGGTGACGGATGAGTGTACCCCAGAAGTATGTCGCCTGTCTGTTCGAGACATTTAATCGAAAACCAGGTATTTAGTAGATACAGGAGCAGATTTAACGGTATATCCCGTGTCACAATCCATGCGCAATCAACCTCCCGGTCAGCTTGTTTTGTATGCCGCAAACCAAACTCCGATTAGGACATATGGTACAAAAACCCTTTCCATAGATTTGGGAATGAATCGATTGTTTAAATGGAACTTCGTGATTGCTGATGTGCAAAAACCTATTATTGGATCAGATTTTTTGGGGAAATACGCCAACAGTATCATTATTAAATACAAATATTAATAATTATTAGTAGAGATATTTTGTACCCAATGAGAATCATAAATATAAAATAACAGCACCTTTGTATGGGGTCAATTATAAAAAGTCGACAAATATTGATTTACTGCCCAATGATAATCCCAAATAAAAAATTACAACCAATTCGTTTGAAAAATATATCCAAAATACCGAAAATTAGGAGTAGCGTTCTATGGAGATCATTCTTAATACAAAAGTAGTCGCATTTTCTAATCGAAGGCGCTATCATATTTTCTAATCGAAAACGCTAATAATATTTCAAACCCCATTATATTATTAACCAAGCCCCAGAAATCCCATCCTCACACCTCAACTTAAAAATTTGCCACAAAATTTAAGATTATCATACAGAAATTCATGGGCACATCTCTACAATAATCAAAACCTCATTAGATTTCTTTCGGAACACTTAATACACGCACACTCATATACTCAAACCGCAACATGTGTACACCACGTCCGTAACATCTAAGAAGAACTTAGCATCCTCATACTACAACAACACCAACAAAACATCTTTTCGTCGCTTCTTCAATATTGAATGAAATTCCAAAAAGAAAATACGACGAGGAAAAAAAATCAAGCAAAAAAATCTGGAACAGTAAAGTTCAATTTTACGCCAGTTAAAACGTTTTTGGCTTCTCTCCTCCGCCGCAATAAACCTGACTAACAATGAATTTCATTCACTTGCAGTCGCAGCATGACTGACTGACTTACACACCGAAAATGCAAAAAAAAAACACGAATTCATGGGCTACAACAACAAAAATTCCAAACAAAAAAATTAATATGAAAATGATTTAAAAAAAACACAACAACAATCTGGAACTAGTAGTAGCGTTTGCCATGACTGAGCATGTCACTCTCCCACAAGTTGTAGTCCGATGACTACAGAGGTTTGTTTTCTTTTTTGTCTAGTTCTAGTGGTTTTGGCGCCATCTATATCAAAATATTTGTAACTTTATTATAACGCTATACTATATACAAAAAAAAAACAAACACACACACAATCACACCTACCTACGTACATACCTACAAAACAACTGTCCATGAAAAACACATCGTCGTCGCCTTCGTCACGCCATCCGTACAGCTGCTTGTCTAGTATGTATCTCCCGCTCATGGATAGATAGATACATACCGAACGATACGCACAAAAATTCCAAATATTTTAGAAATTTACCGGAAAAATGCGCTGAAGAATGTGCGGCGAAAATTCTGGTATTTTTTGTCAGCGTTTGGTATTTTGGTGGTGGTTCTGCTGCTGCGGCCAGATGACTCCATATTTCCCCTTCATGGCAAGCTATTACACTTGACCCATTGTGGCAGCATTGATCAGAGTGAGGCAACTGATGTCTTCGACTTTTATGTGTGAAAGAGAGAGAATGCAAACAAGTTAAGTTTACGGCTGAATTCAGCCATTGTTGTATTCAAACATGTTTTCTTTTTTTGTTTTTGCTCCAAAGAATTGCTGCTTGTTGCGCATGTACTAAAGCGAATTCAAACATCGCAACAATTACCCCGCATCGAAAGGGGGGTAGACCCACAAGCTGGAGACAGACACACACCAACGCATTAAATCATCTTATGCAAGATTGAGTTTATTTGTTGTTGTTTTTATGATATACCCTACACATAAGTGGCGGTCTACTAAGTTCTGTAGAGAAGTTTGGAACTTGATCTGAAAATGACTGAAGAACATATTATTTAAAATATAAAAGAAATAACAACTTCGATAAGAAAATTCTATTGAAACCTTCAAAATTCTGAAAATGGGGTGAAGCTATATAAAAGGTTGGACTATTTACCGCAAATGCGTGCTACAATATCTCGGAATGACGAATAGGAAAATAAGGCTAAACCCTTCAAAATACTGAATATTGGGCGTACCCCTATTTGCTATGGGGCTATGTCAACCCTTGGACACATATTGATTATTTTCTATATACACCAAAATTTTTGTCAGCCATGGATGGGTAAATACGTTTAAGACCTTCAAAACAACGAAAATGGGTCGGTACCTTTACAGGGTGAGATGAAAAAACTGCAACCAACTTCAGTCTACTGTCATTTCTAAGCCACTCGTCCGATTGCTGTTAAAATTATTCCAGTGACAACTCTTTATATTGTCTACAAGCGTACAAAAGCATTTTGGTGAGAATTTTCCAGAACAGAAAGAAAATTGGCTAATTGGCTTCGCTTGCCCGAAAGTGGTGAACTGTCGAATATGGTTTTCCCCAATGAAGAAACATTCGTTGCCCAGCAGTTTGTAAATAAACACAATTATCGCCACCAGAACTCAAGCGCCGGCCATGGTGATGGTGTGGGCTCCCATAACAGCCGATTCCCACTCTCCGCTCTTATGATTCGACTGTGGCATCGGAATAAATGCCGAATATTATCGGGAAAATATCCTGGAGGGTGTATTAAAGCCTTGGGCATGCAAACATTTTGGCCGCAGACCTTGGACATTCCAAGAGGACTCAGCACCATAGCATTCAGCACGAGCCACCCAAGAATGGTTATAAAATGAGGTTCCAGCGCACAATGGCCACCAAAATCTCCGGATACCAATCCGTTGGAGTATTGTGTCTGGAGTATTTTGGAAAGCAAGGTAGGCACTAAAAAATACCAAAGTGTCGATAACCTCAATCAAGCGCTTCGCCTGGAATGGGCCAAAATACATCAGAACAGGCCATAATTCGTGCTATGGGTGTCCAATTCGAAAAAATCTAAACTTATTCAAAAATTTGATGCTATTTTCGACATTTTTTACATTCATTCAATAAAATTAAAAAAAAAAATGTAAAAATTATGGCGTTAAACTTTGTTGCAGTTTTTTTATCTCATCCTGTATATACCAAAATGTTTGTCAGCCTTCAAGAACCCATTATACCAAATTACAGCCACATCGGTGGGAAAAATGCTAAAGCCTTCAAAATAACGAAAATGGGTCGGTACCTACATAGGGGAGCTATACCAAAACGTATACCGCTATTGATATTTTTTGTTACAAGATTTGGCACCCCATGAGTATCAAAAATATAAAATTAGAGCCAATTGGATTGAAAAACGAGCCCAATCCTCCCAAAATACCCTGGTCGAATAATAATAATTTTTAGTAAGAACATTATAACTGATTAGGTTGAAAAGCCTGCATACCACCTTCAAAATACCGAGTATTGGGGCTACCCTAAAAAGCGGACCGATTCTACCAAACATCCAATAAGTACTATTAATGTATGTGTGAAATTTTAAATCTCTTTCATACATGTTGTGATCTCTAGCTAAATTTTTATTCTGATCAAGAATATTTCTAATCCATAGGGTCTCAAGTGAATATATCGAGGTATTGTAATTTCCTTTACAGTTTAATATACACTCCACCTTACAGTGTAGGGTAAAACCAGTGAGCGGAGCAGTATTGTCGGATGGGTGCTTACACAACTACCACGGAACTCTAACTTTCTGCGGATTTTTATTTCGTGATAATTGCACCCCCTTGCCCGATTACAGGTCAACAGCACATTTTCCTTACACTGACATATTTTCCGAATATTACTAATATTCGGTACATTCCTTCTAATTACTTGTTCATATTCCCTTAACCGTGAGCTGTGTGATGATGATGATAATTGTGGCCTAAGATCGACTCAAAAAAAACACACACACAAAAGAAATAAGTTTTCGGTTCACTTCACCCCAAAGTTAAGGACCATAACTGGATCCTCATGGAACATTTCAAAGTGATCAGCGCTATATTTCCTTTTTCCTTTTTGGATATAACATTCATATGTAGATCGCGACACATGTTTAATATTCTGACGGCATTAGCCACAATTTCTAAACTATGTGAATTTGGTTTAAGATATTAAAAACGCGCCCGATCGGTTCTCATTTATGAGGGATCCTATAAAATGATATTTTCCCTTTATAGCTATAACGTCGAGGGTACAAAAACTGATGTATACTTTATTTAAATAATTATATATATTTTTTAAATAATATATAATCAATATATAACTATTTAACCCGACAAAACTGATTCAAGACACTGTGCTAATGCCAATGCATAAAATAAAGACATTTACAAGCACACACACAACAAAGTCAAGTTTTTTTAGAACACTCACTCACACAACATATCTTAATTCTTTTCCGAACCCAATAAAAATCACCACTTAAACAACAACAATTATCATTTTGCGATCAATAACAAGTGCATCCCATATGTTTGCAAATCCGACTACAACATCGTCATTTGTTTACAAATACGCAACATTAAGTAATGTCCAAAGCCTATATGCGCATCATTGCCATCGAGTTTATGTTTTCGTTTATTTGTTATTCTTTTACATTCGCAACAAGATTAAAAAATATTTTTTTCCTTATATTCACATTTACTTGCATAGCAATATAGGAAGCATTACAAATGCAGGCACATATCGGGAAAATACCTTAAGGACAACATTTTTCACAAAATAAAATTCCAAAATTCTTTTATTAAATAATTTTTTGAACATGTATTTCGAAATTATCAAAAGTACAAAGAAAAAATGCGTGCGTTCAATATGAAACAAAATGCACAGTGTACTGAATAGTATTCAATTTTTCGGTAATTAAGAAATTCTAACAGGG